CCTTCCCTGGGGGGGCGCGTGAGCGCGAAGTGATTCGGCCTTCGCGCTTCGCGCAGCGCGAAGTTGGGCGCCCTTGTTGCCGTCGGAAGAGTCTCGTGGAGAGTCTCGTGTCCCCTCTGGTGCCCTGTCCAGTCAAGCCCGACTATAGACGATCCGCTCTGAGGAGGCCCCCGCCTCGCTCCCTGGGCCGCCCCCTCCCGCCCCCATCGGCGGACTCTCGAACTACTCGAGCACGTAACGCGTGCTGTGAGTCAAGTGCTAGTCCTTTACGCTACACCAGCACCAACAACAGCAACCCGGGCAGCGCTCTCAGTTAAGAACAAAAAACATTCGAGCGGCTGGCTGGGCACGACTGTGTTATGTGATGTGCCGGGCCAGCGGTCCCACCCGCCCGCCCCGCATTTAACGCGCGTTACAGTCAACCCGCATAATGAGGATGGGCAACCCTCCCAAGGGTACCCTGCATCCTTGCCCCTTCGGCCCATCCTTGGCGACTCTCGCGGGCCGCGCCCCGCCCGCAGAGGGTCGACGTGGCCTTCCGAGGCCCCTGGCATCCTCATCGCGCATCCTCACCAGTCGGGTGGACTGCGCGCACGTGGCTCCCAACAAAACTGGAGCTCCGGCCTGCCCCTGCGCGCCGCCGGGCGCATCGGCGGCCTGCACCAGCTCGTCTTCGCGGAGCAGGCCCGGGACGCGGCGTTCTCGGACGCGGGCTGCCGGCAGGCCGCCAAGGCTGGGCGGCGCAGCCCTGGCTGCGCGGCGGTGTGCCAGCGGGCCACGGCGATCCGGGCGAAGTGGGGCGACGGCGGCACGGGGCCGTACGCCGAGGACATGCTCCGCTCGTACGGCTGCGCGTAGGGCTGGGCCCCCCGTCGGAGGAGGGTCAGTCGCTGCCGCGCTCCCCGGCACGGGGCGGCCCCAGCGGTGCCCCCCCCCCGAGAGGCTTCGCTCGTCGCCGCGGCGGGGCTCCGCCTCGAAGGACGGGCCAGGGCAGACCCCGGGAGGTGCTCTTGGGCAGGCCAGCCACAGCTGGGGGAGCTGTGGTCCTTACCCCCCTGGGGGACCCATCGATTTCGACACCTCTCTCGAGGGATCGTCGATGCGATGTGTCCCCCCAGGGGGGCCAAGGACCACAGCTCCCCCCAGTGATGGCTGGTCGGTGGGGGGGGGGCCGCTTCTGAGCGGGCTCGGGCCTGGCGGGAGCGCCGCTCTCGGAGAGCCGCCGTTGTCTCGACGGGCCCTCCCCCCGAGCAGAGTGGCCCCGGGCGTGGCGAGGCCGCGCGCTTCTCATGGGACACGCCATGGCCTCGGGCGCCGCAGGAAAAGGGGCCGAGCGCGATCGCTCTCCGCCTGCCCCTCTCTGGGCTGGGAAGGCGTCCGCGTCCAGGAGCAAGCCACGAGGCCGTGCGCAGTGGAGGCGGATATAGCACCCCTTCCCCCTCCTTCTTCGGAGGTCCGCGGAGGTCTCCAGAGAGTTCTAGGGTCCTCCAGAGGCCTTGGGGATTCGAGAGGCCTTGGGGGCCCCTTGGGGGCATGCCGTGTGCGTGTGTGTGTGTGTGTGTGTGTGCGTGTGTGTGCGTGTGTGTGTGTGTGCGTGTGTGTGTGTGTGTGTGTGTGTGTGTGTGTGTGTGTGTGCGTGTGCGTGTGCGTGTGCGTGTGCGTGTGCGTGTGTGCATGTGTAAGTGTAAGTGTAAGTGTAAGTGTAAGTGTAAGTGCAAGTGTAAGTGTAAGTGTACTTGTAAGTGTAAGTGTAAGCGTAAGCGTAAGTGTAAGTGTGAGTGTAAGTATACGTGTAAGTGCAAGTGGAAGTGTAGGTGTAGGTGTAGGTGTAGGTGTAGGTGTAGGTGTTGGTGTAGGTGTAGGTGTAGGTGTAGGTGCACGTTGAAGTGGAAGTGGAAGTGGAAGTAGAAGTGGCAGTGTGAGTGTCAGTGTAAGTGTAGGTGTAAGTGTGAGCGTAAGTGTAAGTGTGCGTGCACGTGCACGTGCATGTGCAGGTGCACGTACAGGTGCAAGCGCAAGCGCAATCGCAAGTGCAAGTGCAAGTACCACTGCCAGTGCCAGTGCAAGTGGAAGTGCAAGTGGAAGTGTAAGAGTGAATGTAAATGTAAGTGTAAGTGTAAGTGCGAGTGTGAGTGTGAGTGTGAGTGCGAGTGTGAGTGTGAGAGTGAGAGTGAGTGTGTGTGTGTGTGTGAGTATGAGTCTGAGTGTGAGTGTGTGTGAGAGTGTGAGAGCGTGAGTGTAAGTGTAAGTGTAGGTGTAGGTGTAGGTGTAGGTGTAGGTGTAGTTGTAGGTGTAGGCGTAGGTGTAGGTGTAGGTGTAGGTGTAGGTTGAAGTGGAAGTGGAAGTGGAAGCAGAAGTGGCAGTGTGAGTATCAGTGCAAGTGTAAGCGTAAGTGTAAGCGTAAGTGTAAGTGTACGTGCACGTGCACGTGCACGTGCAGGTGCAGGTGCGCGTGCAGGTGCAAGCGCAAGCACAAGCGCAAGTGCAAGTGCAAGCGCCA